CCGCCCCTGGGCGCACCGGCCGCCGCGGTGACTCAGCCGGAGCCTGCCCGCGTCCTCTGCAGTTCTGGGAGGTGATCAGCGATGAGCATGGCATTGATCCTACTGGCACGTACCACGGAGACAGCGATCTGCAGCTGGAGCGCATTAACGTGTACTACAACGAGGCCACCGGTGAGAACTCTTGCCCCACCCCCGCGCGCAGGCCCCTTGTGCGGCCCGCGGGCTTCCCCTCACCGACACCGCTCCTCCTCAGGTGGCAAGTATGTGCCCCGCGCCGTGCTGGTGGATCTGGAGCCCGGCACCATGGACTCTGTGCGCTCGGGGCCCTTCGGGCAGATCTTCAGGCCTGACAACTTCGTCTTCGGTGAGTGCGGGCGGGGGCTGGGCCGCCCAGGGATCAAGGGGCTGTTCCGACCCAAGGTCATTGCTTCTGGACGCAGTGGCTGGGAGCCCACGGGACTTTTTCCTGCCCTCTGAGTCATTCAATCCCTTTGCCTAAAGCGGCTTTAGGAGGAGGGCCCAGCTGTTTGCCTGCAGGCCAGAAGAGGTAGATGTAATCTCCCCCAGTCCAGGTGGAAGCCTGGTTCACTTCTGTGCTCGGGAATCGGCAGGGTCTTGTTGAGCTGTCTTATGTTCGTCACTCTGAGGGCCCATTTGCCCTACTTGTGGGATTGCGCAGGTGTTGGTCACTTTCTGGCTTAAGTGTGACTGGCTGTGGTCTCTCGCAGGTCAAAGTGGTGCTGGGAACAACTGGGCCAAGGGCCACTACACGGAAGGTGCAGAGCTGGTGGACTCCGTGCTGGATGTCGTGAGAAAGGAGGCCGAGAGCTGTGACTGCCTACAGGGTTTCCAGCTGACCCACTCCCTGGGTGGGGGGACTGGGTCTGGGATGGGCACGCTGCTCATCAGCAAGATCCGGGAGGAATACCCGGACCGCATCATGAACACGTTCAGTGTGGTGCCCTCACCCAAAGTGTCGGACACAGTGGTTGAGCCTTACAATGCTACCCTCTCAGTCCACCAGCTTGTAGAAAACACAGACGAGACCTATTGCATTGATAACGAAGCCCTGTATGACATCTGCTTCAGAACCCTAAAGCTCACCACACCCACCTATGGTGACCTGAACCACCTGGTGTCTGCCACCATGAGTGGGGTCACTACCTGCCTGCGCTTCCCTGGCCAGCTCAATGCTGACCTTCGGAAGCTGGCTGTGAACATGGTTCCCTTCCCCCGCCTGCACTTCTTCATGCCTGGCTTTGCCCCCTTGACCAGCCGGGGCAGCCAGCAGTACCGCGCCTTGACGGTGCCTGAGCTCACCCAGCAGATGTTTGATGCCAAGAACATGATGGCTGCCTGCGACCCCCGCCACGGCCGCTACCTGACAGTAGCTGCAGTGTTCAGGGGCCGCATGTCCATGAAGGAGGTGGATGAACAGATGCTTAACGTTCAGAACAAGAACAGCAGCTATTTTGTCGAATGGATCCCCAACAACGTGAAGACGGCTGTCTGTGACATCCCACCCCGGGGGCTAAAAATGTCGGCCACTTTCATTGGCAACAGCACAGCCATCCAGGAGCTGTTCAAGCGCATCTCGGAGCAGTTCACGGCCATGTTCCGGCGCAAGGCCTTCCTGCACTGGTACACGGGCGAGGGCATGGATGAGATGGAGTTCACTGAGGCCGAGAGCAACATGAACGACCTGGTGTCCGAGTACCAGCAGTACCAGGACGCCACGGCCGAGGAGGAGGGCGAGTTTGAGGAGGAGGCTGAGGAGGAGGTGTCTTAGAGCTGTCTGTTAGCTGCAAAAGTGTGGAAGCGGTGTGAACTCTTTATTCACCCACAGTCTGTTCCGATAGCCCTTTCTCACCGTGTGCACTGCTGTCCTTGTACTGACATCACCTGCTGTACAGACACCACCATTAAAACATTTTCATAGTGTGTCGTTTCGCCTTTCGAGTTCTTTCTGACAGGCCTTGCGAGTGCTGTTGCCAAATGTCATTGCATAGTTGTCTTGCATGGCTGCAAGGGAGCAAGTCTTCAGCTGAGCTGGGCTTCCCACACGCCTGGGGCAAGCGTGCAGACGACCAAGGGGCTTCTCAGGAGCTTGAGGCACCCCTGAGGAACCTCTTCCTGAAGGTGACAGACCAGATGGCCTCTGCCTGGGAATTCACTGCAGGCACTGCTGGGCCCCTTAGGGAGTGGGACTGGAGGAGCTGGGCAAAACAGTGGGTCTGGGGACAGTGCCCTGTAGTGAGGGTGGGTAAGGGTAGGCCCCAGCCACCTTGCCCTCCCTGTGGCAACCTTTTTGTCAGAGGAACCTTTCTGGGGGAGCCATACTTACAGGGGACGAACCCCATGTAGAAGGGGATCAGGCCCTGGCCTCTGTAGATGGTGGTGTAGGGCCAGTGTGTCCTGGGCAGCCTCTGCCCCAGAGGATAGATAGGGTTTCTGGACAGAAACTTGAAGGGGGGGCCAGGTGCTGATGAGAGCTGCCCTGCCCCTGCCCTCCCTAGTAACCCATAAAAGGGCTGGGGCTGGCTTTCCCCAGGAAAAGGGGCTAAATTCACAGGTAGCTGAAGGTTTAGGGCAAGGAGCCAGGCCTTGCTAGGTTATGGACCACCCTTGGGGCCAGACGCCCCCCCCGCAGGCCTCTGGAAAGATGCCAGGGGGAAGTGGAGACCTACTGTGTGCATTTTGCTTCAGAAACCTAAAGCTGGTGTGTGGGCACCTGCTGGGGGCCTGGGCGCAGGCCCAGGACGGTGCTCTCCTACCTGGTTCTTGTCAAACTCGTCCATAGCCTGTGTGACTCCATCGCAGTAATTCATCCCCATCACCCAGGTGAACTGGGGGATAAAGCCAGCATAGCCTGGGGAGGTGTGGGGTCAGTGTCCCCCTAGGTCCCCTGGGCAAACCCACCTGCTCCCAGATGTGCCAGAAAGCCTGTCTAGCTTCTTTCCTAATGGTGGTGATACCTTGAGACCACAAGGGAGCAGCTGGGTAGTGGAGAAGCTGGCTGGGGACACCAGGTCTGTTGACAAAGTGGGAATGGGCTGGGGGCAGCCTTGTTCCTCTCACCCTTTGTTTTGCCTGGGCCCCTGGAATCCTATGGGGGACACACCTGAGATGGCTTTTCTTTGGATCAGGTTGGGGTGGTCCAGCTGGGGCAGTCGCTGGAACCTATCCATGTCCAGTGTTTCCAGCTGGTGGGTTGGGGGAGGGTACTCGTCCCTTCTGCGGTGGTACAGCTGCCAGGGGAGGGGTGGGTCAGTGCCCAGCTCCCACCTGGATAGGGTGAAGCCCAGGACAGTGTGTCTCCAGTTACCTGGTGCTGCTTGGAGGCCCCGTGGACAGGGTTGGCATTCTTCCAGGCCTCTTCACCATATGCCAGTCTCAGGCCCGGGTGTCCCATGTCGCTAGAGACCCCCTTTCTGCCTGGTGGGCACGGTGGGTAGGGGGGATAGGGCATAAAGCCAGCGGGCAGCACAACCTGTCTGGACGTGTTCTCTGCTCCCAGTGGCCCCTGGGCGTCCACCTCCTGCAGTGGCAGCTTGCCCAGGATCTCAAAGTTCCTGTAGGGCTTCAGACCTGCACAGACAGGTGGCGGATAACCACGTGGGCAGCAGGGCGGCAGCAGAAGGTGGGGCGGGGAAGGGGCAGCTCACCAGTGTAGTGAGGGATGTGGGGCTCAGTCAGGTCCCGGCAAGGAACCCAGGGCGGCTTGGACTGGCTGAAGTCCTCAATGAACTTGGGCTTGGACATGGGAGACAGCACAGAGCAGGGGCTCTTTTGCACGCTGGGATCTGTGAGCAGCTGTGCTGTGGTTCGCCCATAGGTGTTCCCCACCTGGTAGCGCAGCTGCGGGTAAAAGCCAGCATAGCTGCGGGGGGAGGAGAGGAAGGCAAGGGGAGCACAGCACTAAGCAGGGCTCTGTGGGCAGAACGACAGCCCAGCTTGCCAGCCACTTAGCTGCTGTGACGCACGGCAGGGCCCCTGACCTCTGCTTACCTGTGAAATGGAGGCAGTGGAAGCCACAGTCTTCCCAGCTCTTAGGGAAGGTAGCACCTCCTCCCACAAACATGCGCCTGGCCCAGAGGAGAGCTGCACTGCAATCACCACCCTGTGCCCGACTGTCCCCCACCCACCACTGTCCCCGCTTACTCCAGGGAGCTCTGCCCCATGAAAGCAGGCACATGGCCTGACAAGTCCCGGGCAAGAGGCCCACGCCTAGGGAGGGCCAGTGGGAAAGCATGCTGTGGAGTTTGGCCCAGATCTTTGCCACCCCAGGAGGCCACAGCCATATGTATAGACCAGGATTTGAGGGCTGGGAAGAACAGGTCCCTGGTGGGCAGGTAGCCAGTGGTTTCACCATGCTGAGGTCAGGGAGGCTGTGTGGTCACTCAAGGAGGGTGAATTATCTTTTTGGAGATAGGTGGTCTTCAACTCCTGGACTCTAGTGATCCTCCTGCCTCATCCTCCTGAGTAGCTGTAACTACAGGTTTGCACCACTGTGCCTGGCCGAATTTTTTTTTTTGTTTCCTGTCCCTCCCTCCCTCCTCTCTTTTGTGGTACCAGGCAGCAAACCCAGGTCCTTGCATGTACTAGGCAAGTATTTTACCACTGAACTATTCCCCCCCATACTCCTTGACTTCTTTTTCCAGTATTTGGGGTTGATCCTCAGGCCTTTTTATTTGCTTTTTACATTTTATTTAAAAAAAAATTGGTACCATTGAACGAACTCAGGACCTTGCACTTGTGAGGCAGGCACAGCGCCACTGAGCTAAATCCCCAGCCCTTATTTTTTGAGACAGATTCTCATGAAGTCACTAAATTGCCCAAGCTGGACTCAAACTTGCAGTCCTGGTTCAGCCTCCCAGAATGCTGGGATTGTATGTGTGCACCACCATGCCTGGGCCCAAACTGTCTTCTTTTTAAAATTCACCTGGAGGGCCGGGGATTTAGCTCAGTGATTCTGCTGCCTGCCTTGTAAGTGCAAGGACCAAGTTCGATCCCTGGTACCAAAAACTAACAAACAAACAAACAAAAACACCTGGACTAGGGGTGCAGCTCAGTGGTAGAAGTTTGCCTAGTGTGTGCCAGCTCCTGGGTTCTATTCCCAGCACCAAGGGAAAGGAAAAGCTCACCAAGGCCACCATAGGCCTATTAGCTGAGAAGGCCAAGGGTCCATGTCAGTGTCAGCACCCCAACTTCCCCTCGTTAAAAGGAGACCCGGTCCTTACATGCTGTCTGTCTTGTGTCCCACAGAGCGCTTTTCTCTTCCTAGTGAGGCAGCCTCCCTGAGCTTCTCTAATTTGGGAAGCTCTGTAGGTGTCTGGCATTTGCTCTGCCAGCCTCTGCCAGCTGTTCATCTGCCCCATTTTCTGCTTCTGGTATGGCATTTGAGCTGGGGTGGAACAGGGTTGAGAGGCCTGGGCCTCTGCAGAGCCTAGTTTTCCGGGTGGAACAGAGTGAGAGGCCTGGGCCTCTGCAGAGCCTAGTTTTCCTATCCCAGAGTGTTTTAGCCCTCAGGGACCTCAGTCCCCACTCTCTCATGATGCTGATCTTCAGCTTCCTCAGCTTTGGCCCTCGGGCTCCTGGGGTCCAGGTTAGGACCCACCCTTCATCCACCACCCCCGGGAGGGCTCTTAGCTCTTACCCAGGGATATAGTGAGGTTCTGGCGTGAAGAGGGTGTGTTTTGGAGTAGCTGTCATTGTGCCTTAGCTGTGCCCTTAATGGCTGGGCTCCCTCTCCCTAAGAGAAGTCCTCCTCCCTGGCAACCATTGTGAAGGGGCCTGGCCCCTGTTAAGCCTGTGATGCCTCACAGGTGTAACCATGAGGACCAGTCAGGCCAGGTGGGACTGGAAGGGAGCCCCACCCACCTCAGAGCTCCAAAAACGGACAGGGAGAGGCTTAGATTCTTGCTACCCAGAAGGCCCAGGCCCTATGTAGGAAGTAGCTGCACCCCAGGGAGAGAATGTTGGCCTCCTACCCGCTTCCATGATGAGGCCTGGGGTTCCTTGGCTGGGCAGCTGTGTAGTCTTACTTGAAGCGGGGCAGAGGTGTGATTTGAATATACCGTGAAGTGGCTACATACAAAACATTTATCATAGTAAAAGACACATTGACATTAACTCCTGAACCCCCAACCATTGAACATACATAGTCTATTGCTGTACCACCCTGAATGCACCCGATTTCATCTGATCTTGGAAGATAAGCAGGGTCTGGTCTAGGTAGTATTTGGAAGGTAGAACATACAGCCCATCTTTCTTGCCACCAGCCGCCATTTTTTTTTTTTTTTTTTTTTTTGGAGAATAGGTCTCACTATAAGTAGTTCAGACTGACTTTGAACTCAGGGTGATCCTCCTGCTTCAGCCTCCCGAGTGCTGGGATTACAGGCATGTGTGCCATCATGCCTAGCTGTGCTTGGCTTCTTGCCACTTTGTTTTTCGAGATTGTGGGGACGTATCTTGATTTTTGTTTTTCTTTTTGTTTTTGTTTTTTTGACAGGGTCTTGCTATGTAGTTCAGGCTGGCTTTGAACTCACTTTGTAGACCAAGCTGGACTTGAACTCCTGATGATCCTCCTGTCTCAGCCTCCCAAGTGCTGGGATGACAGGTGTGAGCCACCTACCCTGGCTTCTTGTCACTTTCTGTAGTAGTTCTGATAGTCACTTTTCCTGAGGGGCTTTACAAGGTGTGTGAAATAATTCAATGAATGCTGCTGATGAATGCCATCCAGTGGAAATGCAGGTTCAAGAAAGGATGACAATGTGTCCTCACCCATCATATTCCCTGGATCTGGCACCATGCACCTTCTGGCTCTTTTCTAAAGTCAAACTAACCATGAAAGATTCATATTTTTAGGAGGCTGAGGCAGGTGGATTGCCACAAGTTTGAGGCCTGACTAGGCTACATACTGGGTTCAAAGCCAGCCTGAACTACATAGCATGACCCTATCTCAAAAAAAAAGGGGGGCCAGGGATTTAGCTCAGTGGTGCTACCGCCTGCCTCGAAAGCACAATGTCCCGAGTTTGATTCCCCACACCAAAAGCAGAATTCACATGTTTTATCAATTCAGGGCATCGAGGGAGCTATGATAGGACACCTAAGGACATCCTCAAAAGAGGGTTCCAGAACCGCTGTAGAACATAGCAAGGATGACGGGATAAGTGCGTTCAAAGTGTAAAGGGAATTAATGATGTGCCTTATTGTAATAAAAAAATTTTTTGTATTGGGGATCGAACTTGGGTCCTTGCACTTGTGAGGCAGGCAGCGGAACCCACTGAGCTAAATCCTGGTCCCTTATTGTAATAATTTTTAAAAATGTAAACATTCACTGTATTTTTCAATCAGACCTCGTAGCTCCCATTTTAAATCCTTTTCAAAACTTTCTAACCACAAAAATGAAAATATCATAAAGAAACACATCAATAGGTTCCACTGTGCTTTTTTTTTTTGGTACCAGGGATCAAACTCAGGACCTTGCACTTGCAAAGCAGATGGCAAAACCACTCAGCTAAATCCCCAGCCCTTTTTTAAAAAAAAAAAAATTTTTTTTTGAGACAGGGTCTCACTTTGTCATTCAGGCTGGATTTGAACTCATTATGTAGCCCAGGTTGGCCTTGAACTAATGGCAATCCTTCTGCCTCAGCTTCCTGAGTGCTAGGATTACCTGTGTGTACCACCACATGTGGCTCTTACATTTTTTTAAAAAAAGCAGCTAGGCCGGGAATTTAGCTCAGTGGTGCCACACCTGCCTTGCAAACGCAAGGTGTGGAGTTTGATCCCTGGTACAAAAAAAAAAGTACAAACCAGAAAAAAAAGTTTGCCACGGATACTGGCATAAAACATTTTCATAAAATAACATGAAAAATGGGCCTCTTGTATGAAAATGTAAAGCATAATATGAACATTCTAAGAAAAAAGAACCAGCCACTAAATGCATGAAGGTAAGGTTGAAAGTGGGCCAAATAAATACTGATCAAATGCCAATAACGGCTGGAGCTGCCTTTGGTATTCTCAGCACAGTGTTCTCAAGGGGACCAGGCCCACCACCTTCACCTGGGAACTGTCCTCAGGGTCCCTGGCCAGAGACCTGTGCAATCACCACAGCGGTGATTGTCATGGGGAACTGGACCAGGACAAGGACTTCCTTAGAAAATTGCACAGTGCTTACATTTGTAGCTGCTGCTAGTTGGGTTCTTAAAGTGATATAGGACGTGTGACACAGAGATGATCTATGGACCTCTAAATAATATAAAGAAGATATTACAACTCCCAACCTGCTCAATGTCTGATATGCCGAGTTCGTGTTCTCTAAAATCAAAGAATGAATTCTAGGAACAGTGGAGGTTAAGAGTAGGAAGAATTTATTGACACAAAGATAGCTTCTAAGAGAGACAGAAGGGGGCCCAGAAAGTAGGTTGCCCATGACCTCCACTTCTCAAGGGTGTTTTACAGAACAAAACCACCAGTGAGAAAGGTATAAGGAGGGACAAAACTCAGGTTCACTAATAAGATCACAAGTATAGTTGCTTAGGTAACATTGATTCGGTGGGAAATCACAAGGTGGGTACAATGCAGGACAAAACTATGGTCAACCAATAAGATTACAATTATAGTCTCTTATGTAATATTGATTAATGGGGACCAAATGGAGACGCAAGTCAGGTAGCAAGCGTGCACAGACTGAACAAGGACTTTTCCATGAAGGAATGGGCTAGGGAGGTTTTAGTTCCTCACCCAAGGTGATCCACGCCTTTTTAAAATATCAGGATTAGGATTTAGCTCAGTGGTGCCACTGCCTGCCTCCTGCCTTGCAAGCGCAAGGTCCTGAGTTTGATCCCCAGTACCGAAGGCGGGGGAGGGGGAAGAATATCAATCATTGATGTTCATCCCTAGGAGAAGTATGTAGGTGTAGTTAATTTTCTTTGTCTCGAAGCCAGGCCTTCTATGAATGCACCCCCCACCACAGTTGTAGTGTGTTCTTACTTTCTGCTCTGATTTCTTCCCGAGCCTAGCCTTGTCTGTTTTTTTAATTTAATTTTTTTTCCAATACTGGGGATCGAACTCAGGACCTTGTGCTTACCAGGCAGGTGCAGTGCCACTGAGGTACACCCCCAGCCATAATGTTTTAAACTAGCTGTCTACGATAAAAGGATCTTGAGGAACATGGGAGGGCCCTGGGACCTTGGCAGTGTGGGAGCCCTCTCCAAATCAAATGCATTTTTGTCCCTCTGTGCCCAGCAGCACTGGTGTTGGCGGAGAGGATCTGGGGAGAAAGAGACCTAGTCAGGGTGACAGAGCGCTGGGGCCAAGGTCAGGGCTGGGCCGGGCTGGGCCAGTTGGTGCTGGAGGCTGCTGTTGGAGAGCCTGGTGCCCGGATGGGCTCTTGCTCCCTCCAGCTCATTACTCCTTTGCAGCTCAGCTGGGCAGCCCAGTTCATCTGTGACACCTGCAGCCCTTCTGGCCTCTGTTGCCCTACACAGAGGAGAGGTCCTCAGGCCCCACCTTGGTGGGGTAGGTGTCAGGTCCAGAGCCAGGGCTGCCCTGCTCTGCTTTGCTTATGCCTGCGTTTCCTGCTGGGTAGCAGCTCCCGTTCTTCCAGCCTTCCTGGGTCCCCCACCACCTGACCCCCCCACCCCAGAGCATCCTGAACGACCTGGAAAATACTCAGGGGTACTGCTCTCCTCTCCACCCTCCCTCCTTTAGCAGGGGCCACAGATCTCCCAGGCCCAGGTAGCATGGACTCCTAACCCTAAGAAACCCTAAGTACAGGAGAAAGGGTTGGGCCAAGAATCCCTGGACAACTTAGGGGTCCTGTTGACCCAGCTGACCCACCCAGCAGGCTGGGGTCCTGGGGGCAGCCCCTGTGGAGCTGGACAATGCTCCTTCCTCCCTAGGGTGCTCTTGGCAAGGAAAGGGGGTTGTGATGCGCATGAGGTCACAGAGCCCCAAGGTGCCCTCAGGGAGAGAGCCCAACTCTGGGTATGAACTTCGACCAGAAGGCTGTGAAATTCCTGGCCAATTTTTACATCAATGGAGGCAAATACTGGACGCACGGCCCCCTGAGACAAAAAAGGTAACTTTAGGAGGCATGGGTTAGTGGCTGCAGCCTGGTACAGGTGGCAGGTAGCTAAGGGACGCCCTGGTCTGTTTGTAGGCCCGAGGCTGCCCTGCTGTCCTGGGGTGCAGATGAGATGAGGCCCGTGAGCAGGAAGAGGGCCCCAGTGGGTCGGAAGTCAGACGTGGGGTCCCCTGGGGCGTGCCCGCCCGCCTGCACCCGGACTCTGCGGGGGCTGCGTGAGTGAGGGTGCTGGCTGCATCCCCAGCAGGTGTGGGAGGGGGATGGGGGCAGCCTGGGGGTGCCAGACCCAGAGTGCGCTCCTCCCACCCCAGTGCTGGAGCAGCGTCCTCCGCTCCAGGCCGACCCGGACGTTCCGGGCCCAGCCGAGTACACGCCCAGAGCCTTCGTGCGGGAAAGCTCCCCGCATCCTCATTACAGCACCGGTTGCAGGTACCCGGGCCCAGGTACGTCCCTGCCTCTCCCAGAGGGGGGGGCCCCCGGGAGCCCTCACTGACTCCCTCGAGCCCATAGACGGC